TTTGGCTGTTGGGAAGTTCATGCATTTTCTATGCAGTTTTGCATAGAGAATCATAGGAAAATGCATTGTGACTTCTCCAACAACTCAGTAGTTTTGATAAATACACCATTAGAAGTTGAGAGTTATTTTCATTCAGCATTAAAATTTATTTTTCATTTTTATTTTGTTTCTTCCTTGTATGAGAGAGAGAGAGAAAGTCATACACAGGGTTATTTTTCATTTTTATTTTGTTTCTTCCTTGTGTGTGAGAGAGAGAGAAAGTCATACACAGGGTACCAGCAGGTGGCATAATGATTACATTGCTGGATTCTCAAGTAGTCAGCCATGGTTTGTGTCCTGGACTTTATTATAAACTCCTATACTTTGATATAGGAATTCTTATGACCTGTTAAAAGTGCCCTTCCTGCCTCAGAGTTTGCATATTCTTTCCAGTGCCTGAGGGTACTCTCAACCCAAAATACTATTGGCTTGGAGGTTTCTCTTGTGTTTAGGTACTGTGAATTCCAGCCACATATGTCCTGGCTAGGATTTTGAAATAATTTTTAAAATTATTATTATTTTTTGAGAGGTTTTCCACTATAGCTATAGGGCATGTGCACTCACCAGACAGACAGAGTGAGACATAGAGACAGAAAGCTAGAAATCACCCCCCAGGGGGGATGGTCACGCAGCAATCCCTTGTCCTCCATTCTCCTCTCGGGATCTTGGGCACGCATGCACACACTCCTGGCATGAGTTTTAAGCCACTGGGTCCGGGAGGACGCGACCCACGGGCAACTAGGTGGGAGTCCAGTGACATAGCCATTACGCTAACTGCTGGTTCCCAATTTTAAAAATTATTTACAATTGCTAAGACATGGAATCAACCCAAATGTCTAAGAACAGATGAATGAATTGAGAAAAATCTTAACAGTATACACTATGGAATACTACTAAGCCATAAAAAACAATGAGATCCTGGCATGTGATACAAAATGGAGAAATATGGAAGATTTAATGCTGAGTCTTGTTAGCCAGACTATGAAAGAGAAGCATTGTGTATCTCCACTTAAAATATACCAAATCTCTGCACTCTATGACAGAAATTGAAAGACTGGAAGGTATAAAGGCATGGAGAGCCACTGAAGATATTAGAGACAGTGTGGGAGGAGAATTGATAGTGGTGGGAGGGAGGGAGGGAATCAGAAAAAAGAAAGAAAAAACAATTTAACAGACACAAAAGTATAAAATTATGTGTTAAGGATGATATGTATGATAATATCTTTGACTGGATTAATATGCAGTGTATTATGCTGGAAAGATTCCTTTCATTTGCTGCAAAGATGTATAGTAATGAGACATAAGTTAAACAAGAAAAAATAATTTCACTTATACTGAGTCTTTCCTACCCACCCAATACTATGTGGTAATCAAAACAGCATGGTATTGGCATAGAAACAGACAGGTGGACCAAAGGAACATAATAGAGTTCTCAGAAATAAACTCCCAAATATACAGTGAACTGATTTTTGACAAAGGGTATTATTAGTCAATCCAGTGGGAATAGGAAAACTTCTTTAACAAGTGGTGCTGGAAAAACTAGATATCCACCTGCTGAAAGATTAATCTGAACCCCTACCTCCTACTGTTGACAAAAATCAACTCAAAATGGATCAAAGATCTAAACCTAAGGACTCAAAACTATAAAACTGCTGCTGGAAAACACTGGGGAAACTCTGAGAGACATTTGGGCAGACAAAGACTTCTTAAATAAGACCCCCAAAGCACAGTCAGTAATCCCAAAAATAGACAAGTGGGATCACATCAGATTAAGAAGTTTCTGCATGGCAAAAGACACAATAATTAGTGTGAAACAACAGCCCTCAGAATGGGAAAATATTTTTGTAAACTATGTGTCAGATAAGAGATGGATAACCAGAATACACAAGGAACTCAAGCAGTTGTCCCAAGAAAAGACCACCAACCCTATTAAAAGATGGAAGAATGAGTTGGAAAAAAAAAAAAAACCCACTCTTTAAGTATGACACATGAATAGCCAAAAGGCATATGGAAAAAATACACAACATCCCTTATCATAAGGGAGATTCAGATCAAAACTACAATGAGATACCACCTAGCCCCAGTCAGAATGACTAAAATTACAAAAAGCAAAAAAAAAAAAAAAAAGATAATTGCTGGTGGGAATATGGTGAAAGTGGAACTCTTACTCTCTTACACTGCTGGTGGGAATGTAAATTGGTCCAGCCACTGTGGAAAACAATTTGGAGATTCCTCAAAGATCCACCCCCCCTCCCCAATACAGTCTGTGGAATTTACACTTGTCCTCCTTACTATTATCTCTTCAGATCTTTCCATTTCTGCCACAGAGTGCAGACATTCAGTTTATACTAAGTGAGAATATACAGTGTGGGTCTTCATGGTTTAGCTTGCTTTGTTTAGCATCAAATCTTCTATATTCATTCACTTTGTATCACATGACAGGGTCTCATTGCCCCTTATGGCTGAGTAATAGTCCACATTATGCACATGCCACATTTTTTTCAATCTAGTCATCAGTTCTTTGGCACTTAGGTGGATTCCACATCTTAGCTATTGTGACTAATGCTGCAAGTAGATGTGTAAGTGTCGTTCTATTTTCCTATCCTTTGGGTAAACCAAGGAGTGGGATTACTGGGTCATATAGTAGTTCTATTCGTAGGTTTTCATGGAACCTCCATACTGCTTTTCATAGTTGCTGTGCCAATTTCCATTCCCACCACTAATGTAGGAGGGTTTCCTTTTCATCACAACCTCACTAGGACTTGCTATTCTTTATTTTCTTGATCACAGCCATTCTTCTTAGGGTTAAATGGTATTTCATTGTATATTTGATTTACTTTTCTCTTATGATAAGAGATGCTGAACATTTTTTCATATGAATTTGGTCATTTGTATGTCTTAGAGAGTTGTCTGCTGGGAACCAGCAGTTAGCGTAATGGCTATGTCGCTGGACTCCCATGTAGTCGACCGCAGTTCGTGTCCTGGACCCGGTGGCTTAAAACTCACGCCAGGCGCGTGTGCGTGCGTGCCCAAGATCCCGAGAGGAGAATGGAGGAGAAGGGATTGCGGCGTGACCATCCCCCCTGGGGGGTGATTTCTCGCTTTCTGTCTCTATGTCTCTCTCTGTCTGGCGAGCGCACGCGCCCTACAGTGAAAATCTCTCAAAAAAAAAAAAAAAAAAAAAAAAAAAAGAAAAGAAAAGAGAGTTGTCTGCTCAACTCATTTGCCTATTTAAAACAAATTGGATTATTTGTGCTTTTTTGCAAGTTGAGCTGCTTGAATTCCCTAAGAATGTTAAGTTCTCTATTGAAAATTATATATATGGTATAGTCTTTGATTTCATTGTCACATACTACATGCATACTTTGAAAAACCATATTGCATACTGTAGAGATGTACAAAGATTAAATATGAATACAGAATTTTAAAAAGAGGTAATTGTAGAATAATATTTTCAGTTAAAAAATTTAACTTATAGCCAAAATGCTGCATTATGCAAATAAACTCATTTTTTTCCTTCTGTGGATTGCATTTGTTTTCTAAATTCAGTCACTTTATCACCTTTTTATTTTATAGTTCCTTTTTTTATATTTAATTGTCATACATCTTTATGGCATGCAATGTGGTTTTTCAAAGCATGCATGCAATGTGTGATAACCAAATATATATATTTTTTTTTTTTTGCAAAGAACAGAAAGATTATTTACATTCTTGTGTTTATTAAGCCTTTTTTTCTTTAGCTCTTCAGTCCTATTCCTTATCATCCATCCCCCTCCTATACAGTCTCTGGTATTTGCATTTGACTTCTCTACTATTATGTCTTTGAATCTTTCTATTTATGCCATAGAGTGCAGATATTTGGTATATATTGAGTGAGGATATACTGTTTGTCTTTCATAGTCTGGATTATTTCACTTAGTATAGTATTAAATCTCCTAGATTTGTCCACTTTGTGTCTAATGTCATAGTCCCACTGTTCTTTATGACTGAGTAGTATCCTGTAGTGTAGATGTGCCACATTTAAAAAAAATTCAGTCATAATTTGTTGGGCATTTAGGTTGGTTACACTATATACAGGAGTGGAATTGCTGGGTTACATAACAAAAAAAATATGTTAACATTTTGAGGATCTGCCAACTTGTATTCTGAAGAAGCTACGCAGTTTCATAATTCCACTGGCAATCTATAGAACTCCTTTCCTCATAACCTCACCAATGCTTGATACTATCCATGGTGCTGACAGGAAAACATCTCTAAAGATGAAATCTAGATGTGACTCTTCCTTTGTTAAAACCTTCAAATATCTTAAGAGATCCTTTCAAATGGACAGAAAGTCTTCTGATGATCCTAATGGCATGCCCACAGTTCTTTAAGGGTGTTGTTTCATAGCAGGAGTTTGTAGTATACAGAAGGAATAATTTTAGATATTTGAATGTAAGACTATGTATCTGAATAGGCTGTAAATTGATCCATAAGAAGCCAAGAAAGTTTTAAGAAATTTTATCAATTTTTACTGGAAGTATTAGGTTATTGGGAAAGTCTTGTCTTGTTTTCCTGTGCAAAAATGTGTTAGGATTTTCCCACCGATTCAACATAAAAACTGTAAAAACAAAGAAAGGCCTTTGGATCCCCAAAGTTTCCTGACCATGAAGCAGGCTGAAAATAATACTCAGATGCAAGCTTGGTGGAGGATGAGACTAAAAGATTAGAGAGTGGAGCAGAGAACTATGGAGAATGGTTCCCAGTTTATGGAGTGAGACTTGACCAAGGAACTGGCAACAAATGGCCCAACTGCATTTCAGAAATTGCTGTGAACCAGCAACTGCTACATGCCTCCTAAACACATTCTCACACACTCTTTGTCTTATTTTTGAATGGGAGTGCCTATAGAAGTCACTCTGTGCTTTTTCCATAATTGTACATTGGATGTTTGTTGGCTAACATGCCACTTTGTTCCATAGGTCTTCAGAACAAGAAGAAATGTTCTTGAGGAACTACTTCTGGGGAGCCTGAACCTGATTTAGATGAGATCCAAGACTGTACTGATGTCATAATGAAATGTTTCCATCAATGGGAAGGTGGTGAATTGTGGTCAGAGGATAGACTGTGTTAGATTTCATTTTCAAAAAATTGTCACAGAAATAATTTCCATGTAACTTTTATCTATTTTGAACTTGTTACTCCTCATTAAAAAGTAGAGTATAATTATACATCCCTTCAATCTGGGAAGGCTGTGACTGCTTTGGCATATGGTAGAAGTGATGCCATGTGCACTTACAAGGCTGAGTCATAAACAGTAATGAAGTTTTTAACCTTATTTTCTGAAACACTTGAAGCTGGAACTCTGGTGCATTGTTAGATAATTCCAGCTACCTCATATAGTCAGGGTGTGAGAAATCCAGGCTACATAGAAAGGCCATGTATAAGGACCCTGTCAACAGTGTGAGACGCTGTTCAGTTTAATCATTCTTCCTGAAGCCATGGACATTGTGTAGAGAAAAGCCTACTTTCTCATGACCTGTCCTAATTCCTAAGCTAGAGGATTTATGAATCTAACAAAATAGTTCTAATCACTAAGTTTTGAGATAGTAAGTGTAACAACTGGATAATTTAAAAACGGCATTATATTGCATATGGTGGTACGATATGAATAAAGAGACTTGGTAATGAGTAAAATATGTTTCATTAAAAAAAATTGTAGCTGTCTAGTGACTTGCTTGCTTATATATTCAGTTAGCTAGTTTTAGGATACTAAGTGTGGGTATATCTGGGTTCTAGAAAGTTGATGTGCCAAACCTTCCTTCGCATTGGTTTATTTGTAGTAATCCACTTAATTTGCATTTTGTTCTCCTACTTGATTGAAAAACTCAATAAATATAGTTATTTAAATTTGCCTTTGTCTTTTACACATAATGGATATAAGGTAAATACATGTAAGTTAACTGCATATTAAATTTTGTCTTTTCAGAGGGCATATTTTATGAGTTTAAAAAATATGAAAATACTATGGCTACCCTTGAAAAAAGGGATTTAGACCAATATTAACCTCTTTATGAATGAGGCTTATAGTCTACCCTTTAAGGAACTTCTTTCCTCTCCTGGAACTCTATACATATCATTTGAATATTGTAAAAGTCAAATGTAGTATAAGGTAAAAGAACAAATTTTCCCAGTAGTTAAGAAAAATGTTTCTATAATTTTTGGGGGAGTTTTACTGACATCTAGTGGCATTCAATCCTATATGTTTAAATTTCTTTTAGCCTTCTTTATTTCTATTAATCTTTCCCTGACTGTCTTCTCTTACTTTTTAAAACTTTTAAGGAAAAAGACAGTTTAGGAATCTAAAGTGAGGCTAGCACTTTTTGGGGAACAAATAATATTATATATAGATATCTATCTATCTATATATATATATCTCATAATTTAACATAGATGAACAAATATGTAATTCATTCTTAAGTGTAATATATTTTGTACCTTATTTATTTGGATCCCCTCTCCTCCTCTTTCTTCATAAAATTTTCTGTGTAAGATAGGTCAGAACATAATCTAGATTTTATAGCATTCTAGATGTTTTTCTATGTGCCTGCTTTCTATGTGTAATTCAATTTATGAGTGAATTTACTTATATATATATGTGTATATATATATATATACACGCACAATATATACATATTTGTTATGCTTTTGAAACATAAGATCATACATAATTTCCTGTATTTTGTTTTTCTCACTTAACATACCTCTTGGAACTCTTTCTAAGATAAGTAAATACACACACACTTTTGAAAATTGTGGCTATTTTAAATTTTGTTTTTAGCTAAATTTCTCTATAGTTCATCACCTTCCTTTTTCTTTCTTTCACTTTGAATGTAGTTGTAATACACATCTCTGTATATATATATACTCTTATATGGAATAACTTTGTATCTACAAGATAGCTTTCTGTCAGTGAGATTGTTGGGGAAAAATATAATTTTAATTATAGTAGATGTTACATATTGTTTTCAAAACCAACTGAAATATCTGTGAACAATATATGAGAATACAGTGTATAAGAATTTTCCTTACATAACCATTAATAGATTTTATAGCATTTTAAACATATTTGTATGAGAGGTATAAAATGATTCATTGAGTTTACTGATTAGAGAATTTGAATAACTTTTTATGTGTTTCTTGATTCAATTTATTCTTGCATACATTTTTGAATTTTAACTTTTTCACTTTGTATATGATGTAAACCTTTTGTTTCTCATCCAGTTTTCAGATATTTCCATGGCAAAATATTATAGCAAAATTTAATTCTATATAATTAATTATGTCTATCTTCTTTTGCGTGTGTGACTCTGGGTTTTCAGATATAATTAAGATTGTCCTTCACACAGGTTTCTTTCTTCCTTTATTTGGTAATTTTGTGAAGTCTTCAGGTTTTGCATTAAAGTCTTAATTTATAATTTATTTTAATAAACTTCTTAAAATTGAAGTATAGCATATCCTTTATTAAGTGCATGTTAAAGAGTGTTCAAAAAATGGGGACCAGCAGTTAGCATAATGGCTATGTCGCTGGACTCCCATGTAGTCGACTGCGGTTCGAGCCCCAGACCCGGTGGCTTAAACTCATGCTGGGCGAGTGTACGTGTGTGCCCAAGATCCCGAGAGGAGAATGGAGAAGGGATTGTGGCGTAGCCATGCCTCCTGGGGGTGGGGGTGATTTTTCGCTTTCTGTCTCTCTGTCTCTCTGGCAAGCTCACGTGCCCTGTAGCAAAAACCTCTCAAAAACCAAAAAGTATTCACAAAATGAACACCTATGTAATTACCAAGCAGTCACTCAGAAGAATTCCTGTTCCTTCTTAATTACTAAGCCTGTATTCCTCAAAACTAACTATGATCACTGTATCTGCCACCTTTTCATATTTTTGTCTCCTAAACTGGGTGCCTAAGCACTCTAGTTGAATTTGGTCTAGGAGGACATGTAATGTTTAGCTTTAGTAGATCAGTAATTATTGATGAAAGTTTTCCAAAGTGGTTATACTAATTTACACTTCCACCAGTGGTGTATGTGTCCTGGTTACCTCACATCTTCACCAACTCAGCATTGTCTGTCTTTTTAAATCTTAGTTGGATGGCTATATATTGGTACCTTACGTTTTTTGTTTGCATTTCTCTGATAACTAATGAAGTCAAACAACTTCTTGTATGTTTATTGGTTTCTTAGTTTATCTCCTGTGTTACTTTTTCTTGGCCATTTTCTAGGAGGTAGACTTTTCTTATTGATTTATAGTTCTTTTATGTTCTACATGCAGGCCCTTCATTGCAAATATCTTTGCTTAGTGGCTTGCTTTTAGTCTTCATGGTACTTTTTAAATTTAATTAACAGAAATTCCTAATTATTGGTGTATGATTCCTAATCTTATGCTATGATACTCTTTCAGTTTTACCCCGATAACCAGGATCTCAGGCATGTACAGGTTTATCCAGGAACTGAACCCTGATCTTCCATATGGCTTTTAGCATTACAGAGTGTTGTATTGCTTCCGTACCATTGTGGCTGGGCCATGAAATGCTTAATTTTTTAAAAAAGTATTTATTATTATTATTATTTTTTTTAAGCTTTTAATAGGACACATGTGCTCCCTGTACATGCTCACCAGAGACAGATGTAGGGAGATGGAGAGGGAAAGTGAGAAAGCAAATTTCTGGTCTGGGACTAGTACAACATCTCAATCACCACTGTAGCTGCTGGACCCCAAAATGCTTAATTTTTAAAGTTTATTTTATTCATGATATAAATTACATGTGTTTATACATGTGAGAGAGAGAGAAAGAAGAAGAAAAACACCCTTGATGGGGCCTAATTATGCTGTGATCCTTTTCTCCCAGCTCATTATGATCTTGGGCATGTACACATGTACCTAGCATGTTTCAGGTTGACCAGGCTGGGGATCTGAACCTGCAGTTGGCCGTGTGGCTTCCAGCATGGCAGTTCAGTATGCTACTTACTGTCCCGCGAAGGCTGGGCCAAGTTGTTCAGTTTGTGCACTTGTTTCCCATTTTGGTTAGTGCTTCTTATGTCTTGTTGAAGATATTAGGTACCCCAACTCCATGAAAAAATGCTTCTGTTGTGGGATTTTGCTGCTTTGCTTATAAGTTCAATGTATAATTCATTAAAAATATTTTTATTGAAGATATGAGCGTTGGTTCAATATTCATCTTTTGTGCATAGAAATATTCAGTTGGCCTAGCATAATTTTAATTGGAAAAGGTTATTCTTGTCCCACTGGACCAGTATATCCTTTTAGGTGCATGTGAAGTGTTCATATATGCATGGGCAAATTTCTGACCTTTTCTGTTTCTTTTATTGACAGTCCTGTACAGTGAATTAATACCATGCCATCCTGATTATAACTTTAGACTGAGTCTTGATGTTTGACAATCTGAATCCACCAGCCTTTTTTGTTCTCAAGATTTCTTTAACTTTGCTTTGCTTTTGCATTTTCATAAACACTTTAAATTAGCTTTGTAATTTTCATACAAAAATAAGCTATTGGAATTTTCACTAGATTTCATTGAACCTGTCATTTAGAGAATTACAGCTTCATAATATTGAGTATTCCAGTCTACAAATGTGGTGTGTTCTTTCATTTATTTAGATCCTTTAAATTTTCTTTCAGATCGACTTTATAATGTTAGGTCTGGCAGTGGCAGTACAGTGTAACACACTGATTGCTCTGTGATGCTGGGCCCATGTGAGAATGATTCAGGTTTGTGTCTAGAGATCTCCCTGTACACGCTAGGTGTACATACACACCTGTGTTCCAGGCAGGCAGAGGCTGCGTCGATCATGGTGTGAAAATCCTGTTGGTGATGCCTGACTGTTGCTCCACACCAGTCCCCCCTCCTTTATTCCCTCTACTCCTCCTCCCTTCCCCTCCTTGGAAGAAGTAATGAACTTTATAAATAAATTTTAGTTTTAAATACAGCAATCTTGTCCATCTTTAGATGTTTTCCTAGGTATTTGACATTTTAGAAACTATTATTAATAGTGTAAGTGTAAACATTTTATTTTTAGTATGCA